CCTAAAATATGTGCTGTACTGTTTATCGGTGATCTCTTATGGTAAACAAATATTGATAAAAAATTGTTCTGTGGTTTCAGGAGTGATAATATAATCTCGCTACAACAGAAGAGAAGCTCCAAGATTTCAAAATTTCTGAAGGGAGCTGCTGACAGAAATGCAGGAAACAGATAATCATCAGCTTCGGTGGCGTAGATGGTAAAGCGCGTACAGTGATCCCTGACGTGATCGACCCGGGTTCGAATCCGCCTTTTACCGAACTTTACCGAACAGATAATTGCCACTATTTGCAATAAGAAAATCCTGCTATTTTAACATAGTGTAAATATCATATTGTTAAAAATACTGCTATTTTCACTTAGTGTAAATAGCATCTAAACCCTGTAAATCTTTATGCAAATGTGGGGGCGTGTTAGAATGATCCGTTTTAGGTAGGCGTGGTTGACTCTTAACTTTTATAAAGAATATCTCTTTGGATTTGAGACTTTAGTCTTTGCAACTTTACAGATCTTCTTTATGCACCAAGAGCTTGTAACACTCCAAAGAGAAAGGAACAAATTGAAATTGCATCACATGACCCCTTTAATTAAAATAATGCAGACTTAGTGAGCAGAAGAGATTTTTTCTCCAAAAACATTGTAATGTTTCCAAAATGTTGACAGGTACTGTATAACATAGTTACCTAGTGCTTATATTGCTTAAATACCATTAATTGGATGGATTTGTGGCCCAAGACGCTGGGATAGGCTTCAGCCCCCATGACCCTAAAGAGGATAAGTGGTTTGGAGAGTAAATAGATGGATGGATGAACTTCCAAAATACTTAGACTTTCTTTGATTTTGTTCCTATTCTTACTGCTGTTCAGCTTAAAAATACCTTTCCATTGTCTTTGTTTGTCATTTTGCATCATTATACCTGTGCTAAACCTATTAAAATAAAAAATAAAAAACTAATGAAAGTGACTTTTTTGTTGTTGTTTGTTACAGGATCCTATGTACCCAACCTCAACCATTCATCAGAAGGATTGTGAAAGCGGGAACTCTTTGAACCACCAGTGGCAGTTTCCATGGGATGAAAAAACGGCATAGTAGTGGATGATGGGGGTACTGACATTAAACTGCAGTATTCACTGTATTACACACTAGGGATGGGCATTTTTGTTAATTTTTCATTTCAAGTACTGATAGGTCTTTATTTTGATGGTCTGGATGGCATGCTGTCCTAACACTAACTAGTCAGAGCTCAGGTACCACCCAAAATGCTGCCATAACGAATCAGAAAAAGAGAAATATGTAAAGTCACGGTGATCATCGAGTACTCTGACTTGACAGAGATGATTGATCATGAAAACAATGATTGCAGTGACTTTAAAAAATGATCAATCATTGCCGTCAAGTCTGAGTACTCTACAGTAGTACTTGTGCACATCCCTATTAAACACACATACCCAGTATTGAGGTATGATGTATACTGTAAATGCAATAAACATTTATCTTGTGAAGTCTTTTTACTTCTGGATTTTCTTTTTTTTTTTCAAAATTATTTTATGAACAATCCTCTTAAAGAAAATTTATAGTATGATAAATTTGAGGATATTGATCTGGAGCATACCTGCAAACTAGCTGCTTTTCAGCGAAATTCGCTGTTTTGAATCAAAATATGTCATTTACGTGAATCATAGATCCGAAGATTTTTGGGGAAAGTTGGGGGTTGGAGAGAGAGAGAAAGAAATTGCAAGCTCATACACTGGAGTGAGACCATAAGTGTGTTCGAACAAAGTCCCTTTCTCAGTTCAACTTGAAGCAGCACCGCGCAGACCGATCGCTGTATGACCGCGCGAGAGCTGCGGAGAGCAGATGGCTCCGCATGCTTTATTTTTATTTATTTTTTTACTTTGAATAGCTTTTATTTCCATATTTCTAATATATTGTAATCACCACACATACAATTGTCTGTTACTCTTACAGAAAGCAAAGAAAAGGGAAATTAATCGGTTCAGAAAAAAGCAGTGTCCACATATTTCTCTTGAAACTCAGACACTTGTAAACAGAATAAAATGTTTAAACTTCAGTTAAAATTACTGAACTAATATTTGGTTGCATAACCATTCTTATTGATAACTACTTTTTTTTTTTTTTTTGGCTCCACATGCTTTCGAATCGCTCTCGCGGTACTTTGATGTCATACAATGATAGGTCTGCTTAAAGTTGAATACTCCTCATCTCATGAGCTGACCCTCCGAGCCGGTCCATTTTGACGGCACACTTACGCTCACATCCGCATGTAAACATGTCGACAGCGTCGAAGTTCTTCATTGTGAGTGAAGCAGACTCAAAAGTTCGCAATTTTTAATACAATATTGACTGTTTTTGCTCAAGTTCGCTGACAAAGTTTCAATCAAAGCCAGCAGAACTGTTGTGTCTCCCAGCAACACACAGCAGTGTTTCATTTCTGAATGAATCCACGTTCTTGAACGAATGGGTACCGGGTGCCACGCCCCCCCATCTTTGCAGCCGACACTTGACTCAGAAAGCACTAGTATATTAATAAATAATTAAAATGTCTTCTTTTCCCCTGACACATTCATAATCACTTTCCCGGTGCAATTGCTTTATGTAGGGCAGGGGTCTCCAAACTCGGTCCTGCAGAGTTTAGCTCCAACCCTAATCAAACACACCTGAACCAGCTAATCAAGGTCTTACTAGGTAGTATACTTGAAACTTTCAGGCAGGTGTGTTGAGGCAAGTTTGAGCTAAACTCTGGTCCTCAACCACACCCCTTGCATTTGTTATTTTTTTCGTCTTGTCAAAATACAAAATTCGTTTAACATTTTGCGAGAGGGAGTAAAATCTTTGCATGGCAGGGGCAGCTCAGCTGCCACTCGACCTGCCACCACTATTTGCACCTGCCATTCGACCTGCCACCGCCAAATGTGCCTGCCACGTTACCCGTCACCGCTGAATTCACTTGCCTCGCGACTCGTCACCACTATGTATATTTATTTATAAATACGACATCCGTCTTTAAAATTATAGGCTAAGCAAAATATGAACAAAACAGAGTTGAACGTCCTTCAAGGACAGCGCATCCACACTTTGCTCTGCCATCATTATTCTGCTCTATCACTCATCGACCACCTGCCTGTTCTGTCTGAGGGCCATATATTCACCGCCGGTACAGCCTGCTCTGTGCACAGACCCTGCAAATAAAACGCATGACGCAGAAAGCACTGGTCCATTTGTGCAGCGCTGTTCTGAAAGGACGTCGGGAATGGGATATTGTTAGACCACCCGCTCCCGTTCAAATTACACCAGAGTTACCGACCGCTACCGCGCTTTAATCGGAAATGTAATCCCGCGTCGCAAGAAATCTGTTTGGGTCCCGCGGTTCCCGGCGTTGTGCCCAATTCTGACCCCTGCCAGATTATTACCCCCCTAGTATTGGTAGGTTTAGGGTTAGGTGTGGGGGAGGGGTTAGGATTAGGGGTGGGGTTAGGATTAGGCAATCAGATAGCGATTTCAACGAGAGGGGTAATAATTTGGCAGGGGGTCGAAAATGGGCACAACACTGGTTCGACTTCTATAGCCTACCTAAACTTTTGGTTCCATAAACAAGTATCGCTGGGAACATTTTACGTTAAAACAGCTTTCCTTGAATCCAGTGTTCTATTGAAAATGTCTAGTAAGAAGTTACTACTGTAGTAGCCTATGACTGAACTTACTCCAAGGTGCGGTTTTGTAACCGGCATACATCGAGTAAGAAAGTTTTAGGTTAATCAGATAAAAAATGTGTTGCCAAAGAAGCAGTGGCTTTTTTAGCAATTAAATAATACATGAACAAAAAAGAAAAAAAAAAAACATATCTACAACACCCTTTTGCTGTGACTATATTGAATTTATAGCAGTGAGGATGGAATATTTCAGTTAGATTTCTGTTTCTCGAATCTAGTTGATTTTTACTTTTTTTTAATCCAGCAGCACAACATGACATCTGGAGAAAGCCAGACCTGCCTGTGGCCATCCTGCCGGCTGTAGGGTCAGTGTCGCTGTTGACCGCTGCTGTACTGCTGATCCGACACTGCAGAAAGAAAGCCAAGAGCAACTCCAGTAACATCACACTCGACTAAACTTTTAAGTTTTTGAAATGTCTCTTATGCTCATAAAGGCTACATCTATTTGATAAAAAAAATAAAGTAAAAATAGCAACATTAAAAAATATATTGTAAATATTTAAAAGTAGTTTTTTATATTTTAAAAATTTAATTTAATTTCTATGGTGCTGAATTCTCAGCATCATTATGCCAGTCTTCAGTGTCACACGATCCTTAAGAAATCATTCTAATATGCTGATTTGGTGCTCAAGAAACATTTCGTATTATTATCAACATTGAAAAATGTTTCAAAAGTTTGGGGCACATACATATAAAGAATTAATATTTTTATTCAGCAAGGATGCATTCAATTAATCTAAAGTGCCAGTAACGACATTTAACAAAAATACTAAGCAGCAAAAACTGTTTGCAAAATTAACAATAAGAAATGAGAATTAATAACTGAGCACCAATAATAATTTATAATAACTGAGCACCAAATCAGCATATTAGACTGATTTCTGAAAGATCATGTGCCACTGAAGACTGGAGTAATGATGCTGAAAAATCAGCTTTACCATCACAGGAATAAATTACATTTGAAAATATATTCAAACAGTTCTTTTCAATTGTAATATTTCACAATATTACTGCTTTTACTGTATTTTTTTACCAAATAAATGGAGCCAAATAAAATTTTGACTGGTAGTATACATTTATTCTTGGATATATAAACTTCAAACATATAAAATATCAAACTCCTTTGAGAAGCAGAGGTAGATTATGAACGTGCCAAATGAATAGGTCTGCACATAACTGCACACAGCATTCAGCAAATAGCCAAAAACAGATTTTTTTTTTTTTTTTTAGTTTTACAGATTTATTGTTTTACCATATTCACTAAATTCATATGGTTTCATCTAAGTTCAGATTAAATTTTGGCACAGATAAAAGGAAACTCCTTTCCTCAAACTTGCTGATGCATGCTGAATTTTCCTTTTTCTCTGCAAACAATGCAACAATAGTTTTGGATTCATTCAACCTGCTAATTGTTACAGGCATTGTTAATTCTCTTCCCGTTTCTGTTATCAGTCTATCAAGCACGATTTCATCGGGAAGCTTCATTCCTGATCCAACACTCTAGGTGTTGAATGTAATACAGTGAGCATCTTGTGCTCCAAAACAACAGCCAAACAAAAGCCATTTCAGAAGGTCTTGATTTAAATGGCTATTGTGGAAATACCACAAGCTTTCAGAAACCCAATATGCTGAAACTGGACGGACTACATGAATACAAAAGAAAAAAAAAAAGTTTTCTAATGTTTGCTCGTCATTTTGCCTATAATGGCTGTGTATAATTAAGTAGGTGTTGACTGAGCTCTAACGTCCTGAGAAATCTCTCATGTGCCTTCCTGATATGGTCTGTGATCATGGCTTTTAGTTTAGTCTCGTTTAAGTCAATTTTCACCCCTTTTTGATAAGGATGCAGGAAGGGCGACAAAAACAATTATGCTTAGAAGTGCTCATAAAGTTGTGTAAATTGAATCAGACATTAATGTTATGGGCACTTCTAAGCACAATAGTTTTTGTCACCCTTCCTGCATCCTTATCAAAAAGAAGTGAAAATGACTTTAAAAACAAGACTAAATTAGAAACCATGATCAAAGACCATCTCAGGAAGGCACATTTGATAAGACATTCTTGGCATGTTTTATTTTGGTTCTTTTTGCAGTAGTCAGTCGTGTACAGTAAATCACACATCTACTGGTGTTTATTCTTTTACTTTCATTGTTTCTCCATGTAGCCATTGTTAAATAAATGATTTTATATAGCAGATCCGGTGTAGTTTATAGTGATATTCATTTCAAACTTTCATTAAACAATTGTTGTACTGTTGGGTTGCCGCTTGGTAAATCCAATGAAAATCTGGATCCTGAAGTAAAACATAAAGTGTGTTAAAAAGAACAAAAAAAACCCCCATTTAAATGACTGATTAACACAAAATTTTACTATTAGTATTTTACTGTTTTATTCAGAATTATTCATAAGTTAATATCAAAACTAAATTAAACAACAAAAAAGGAAATATAATGTAGATGAGGTTTTGTAGATTTTTGTCACAGTTTAATTATAATGCTGTAGTATTTTGAATTAATTTTTCTGAGTAGTAAATTATTTCTATATTTTTCCCTTTTAATGATAATAATAATAATAAATAATAATATTTATGACTCAAAATAATACAGCACTAATAATTAGTGTTAAAAACCACCTTCATCTACATTATACTATGTTGGTAAAGGTGGAGCACTAAATTTCACACTCCATCTACTGAATATATGTGAGGTATACAAGACAAATAACCGGGTTTTGGATGAGATGTGTACATTTTGACATGGTATGTTTCCAAAAAAGTTGATCTAATATCTCAGAACTCAGATCGTATGTGTCTCTCAAACGTGCTGACATCAGATCCTGCTTTTGTGATTAGCATAGCTGGGGAAGCCAAACTGTGAGATCATGATATTGGAGTAGCGGAGCGGCATGTTGCCGTAGATGTGTGTCAGCTTGTTGAGGCAGTAGGAGCGCTGCAGCATGTGCTCCGCTCTGTGCCACATGCCCACATACCCGCTGCTGGCTTCCTTCTCCAGATTCCGCATGTCTACGGGCTTCACGAACACCCCAGAGGGCCGCTGGAGTCCGGACGCCTGTGAGAGTTGACGTGCCACGGCAAAGTTCATGGCGATGTCGTCACAGTTCTGCGTTTGGTCCACCAGAGCGTGTACTTCACCTGGCTGCTCTTGGAACAGCTGCAGGAAGCGCCGATGGAAGAACGCTGCACCCACTAGGATCATTGAATACCTACAGGAACCATAAAATGACATTTATTCTGCTGTATTGCAAAGCTGCACATTTAACATTCATAATATGTGACCCTGGACCACAAAACCAGTCATAAGGGTCGATGTTTTGAAATTGAGATTTATACATCATCTGAAAGCTGAATAAATAAGCTTTACATTGATGTATGGTTTGTTAGGATGGACAATATTTGGCTGAGATACAACTATTTGAAAATCTGGAATCTGAGGGTGCAAAAAAATAAAAATATTGAGAAAATCGCCTTTAAAGTTGTCCAAATGAAGTTCTTAGCAATGCATATTACTAATCAAAAATTAAGTTTTGATATATTTACGGGAGGAAATTTACAAAATATCTTCATGGAACATGATCTTTACTTAAAATCCTAGTGATTTTTGGCATAAATGAAAAATCGATCATTTTGACCCATACAATGTATTGTTGGCTATTGCTACAAATATACCCCAGCGACTTAAGACTGGTTTTGTGCTCCAGGGTCACATATATATGGGTCAATGACATGTAAGACTGTCCACAATAAAGGAAAAATCTAGAAATAATTAACAGTTTAAAACCAATGTTTTATATATATATATAAATAAGGTTTTGAAAACCTTTGTACAATTTTCAAGTGTCCATTGAATTACTTTAAGATAAACGTATCTTTGCAGATGTTATTTATTTATAAATTCTTGGGGAGTCGCACCAAATGACATTTACCAACCTGAACTAACTATAGCTTGATATAAAAATGTCAAATTATTTGATATTTGAAGAGACTTGACACTGTCACAATGGCCTGCAAATGTCCTCTCATGACATCATTTTCTATTCCACGTTTTGTGTGTCTGAATAAATTAATAGACAGGACAAACATGAACATGTCATTGATCCATATTTCTGAGTGAAAAATGTAGGACTTTAGTCCTTATCTGTCAGGAATTGACTGGATTGTGAAGTGTTTGTTATATGACAGGTGGTTGGAGTCAAAGGGTTATGAAAAATAAAAGTGCAAAAGGACTTAAGGTTGTTTCAGAAGCAAAGTGAGTTATACACATGCATGCACCAATAAGTCCTGGAACATGTATTTAAAAAGTTTCATGTCAACGTTACTTTGACTACACTTTCGCATTAACCTGGAAAAGCTGCATTATTCCCAGTCTCACCTGTCGCCTCCACCTTTGTCTGGATCCTGAAGCTCAAAGCTGCCGTAGCTGTACACTCCGGATGCTGTGCTCACATGCTTACGAGGAACAAAACCCACGATCTGATCGGAGAATTGCTACAACAGAAATAAAAAAAAAGATAAGTTAGGGTCTGTGTCTCTGAAGAGTTTTTGAAAGAGCATTTAAAACTCAAGTAAAGCACAGATGAAGTTTCCTATTACCTTCCAGACAGAAAATGTAAAGCTGATATCAGGAACACTGACCAACGTGTCATCGTCTAGCATCAAGACAGCTGCCCAGATGAAAGACAGTGACGGTCAGTACAGTCTCACAGACAAGCACACAATAAACACAGCTGTAATGACATATAGGGATAGTTCCTGATGACTTTCTTTCTTCTGTGGAAAGTCAATGGTCATCAATAGTGTTTGGATACCACCTTTCTTCAAAATAATCTTTTGTGTTCTGAAGATGAATGAACCTTTTGGAATCACATGAGGGTTAATGACAGAACAATGACAGAATTTTCATTTTTGACTGAACTGTCCCTTTAAAAGATCTCCGTTTTGTTTGTTGTTTCAAACCCATATGAAATACTCTTTTTTTTTTTTTTTTTTTTTGGGTCCCATCTATAAATTTAAAATATTTGAACCTTTTCCAAAAGTGACTGTATGATTTTGAGATTCATCTTTTCACACTGAGGACAACTGAGAGACTCGTAAGCACTTACAGAAGGTTCAAACACTCACTGATGCTCCAGAAGGAAAAACCATGATTGATTGATTTTGAAGATCAGGGTAAATGTAACTTATTTTGTCTTCTGAGAAACATGTAACCATCTTCTGTAGCCTCTGAAGGGAAGTACTAAATGAAAAATATGATATTTAGGCAAAATAAGAAAAATGTACACATCTCCATTCTGTTCAAAAGGCTCTTAATGCATGGGTTTTCTTTCTGGGGCATCAGTGAGCATTTGAACCTTCTGTAATAGTTGCTTACGAGTCCCTCAGTTGTCCTCAGTGTGAAAAGATGGCTCTCAAAATCATAAAGTCACTTTTGAAAAAGGTTCAAATATGCAGACGATGCTGGAAAACCAAAGAATGTGCAGGAGCTGGGGATTTTTCTGAAGAACAGCAGGCAGTTGAACTGCTCAGGACTCATGAACAACTATAGCAAAACCGAAAAACAGTCGTGGATCATCCAGGAAACGACACACGGTATTAAGATTCAAGGGTGTGTAAACTTTTGAACGGGGTCATTTTTATTATTTTTATTTTATATTTTATTATTTTTTCTTGTGGAGTATATATATATATATAAACATCCGTTATGTGAAATAGCTTATTCAGGACAGTACTAAATAAAAAACAACATGCACTTTTCATGAGCTCTCATATTTTGTTAACATTATTAATATACAGGTGCATCTCAAATTAGAATGTCGTGGAAAAGTTATTGGTCTTCTGAAGTATTCTAATTTGTTGAGATAGTCAATTGGTGGGTTTTTGTTAAATGTGAGCCAAAATCATCACAATTAAAAGAACCAAAGACTTAAACTACTTCAGTCTGTGTGCATTGAATTTATTTAATACACAAGTTTCACAATTTGAGTTGAATTACTGAAATAAATTAACTTTTCCATGACATTCTAATTTATTGAGATGCACCTGTATATTTAAGATTCACAGTGCGGCCCTAAAATACGAATTGTAATTTTAACCTTAAACCTTTAACCTTAAAGCAGACATTTAATTTCCTTTTATGTATATAAAATCACTTTTGTAAATTTAATTTGATGTGGACACCAAAATGGGGCCTTTCATCTTTGACCCATTTACAGAAGTGCTGTTAATCAGCACGTTCCCTTTTAAATGAATAAAAAATACATTAAAAAAAAATATGTACACATGCGTGTTTTAATTGAGATTTTAAAAGATAATTTATTTTCTTATGGCGTGCAATATGTCATTGGCTCTAAATGGAAAAAGGTGATTAGGTTAAGAAATCTTTGGGTCAATAATCGGTCGAATCACCTCTCGTTCATGTGAGAATCACACACCCACCATCAGTCTTGATCTCGGGGTGCGGCTGCAGGCGATTGCGCATTCTGTTGACGCTCTGCTCTTTGAAGATGATGGGCACAGGGTGTGGGCCGAGGGCATCCCACAGTTTCCTGGGCGGCAACTCGCTAGGGTTGTTCCACACTATGATGATGCACTGCAGGTAAGGCACAGCTTGATAATGGTTGAGGAGCTTGAGGAGAATATCAGTGCGGTTATAGGTTTGCATAATTATAGTAAAACTATCCTCGGGGTCCAGTAGAGTGAGTGAGTTGTTGGAGCTCTGACGGAGCTTGAGGAGAATGCTGCGGTCCTCATTATTAGGCAATAAGAAGGTCAGAGAGACTCCGGCCAGAAGCAGCAACAGTATAGAGGCGATGAAGAAGTGTGTCCGCACACGGCCCAAAGACCTGCAGCAGCACCAACGAATCCTGATGAGGAGAAGACAAGAGCTTTAAAGAGATGGCTTACTCACTTTCATGGTCCTGCAAACCTGTAGGATTTTCTTTCTTCACTAGAACAAAAAAAACAAACAAACATATTTTTGCAGAATATACACACATACACTGGTCAAATAAATAAATTTTAAAAAACAAAAATGGGAACACTTATTCATCGCAATATAACACCAATTCAAATAAACCTCAGGGACTTTAATCTGTCCAATTAGGAGACATGCGTGATCCATCCACGTTTCATCTGTTACTGCATTTGCAGAATTATCAATGTCTGGATTCATTGGTGGAATTTATTAAAGGGTACATATATAACTGATTGCACTCTCATACAACTTCACTGTGACCATTTCTTTGCAGGTTCCATTAAAAGTTGTTGTTGTTTAATAGCCCAAATAAAAAGTTCCATATCGAGCAAACACACTAAACAAAGAGTGATGTGCCAATACATGCATGATAAGAGTTTGAAGTAACGTTACTTAAATTATTGTGTGACTCGTAAACATTCTGATTAATGCTTGAAGGCTGGAAGACTAGCAAGCACTCCACGCGACGATTTAACGCATGCATTTAGAAAATAATCTCACTAGATCTGTCATGACAAACACGTATGAGTACATTTACATTCTGAAACAAGACAAAGCAACACGTACCTCATATTCCCATTTTATGAGATCCCAGAAGGAAGTTTACTTTCCCGCGCAGGCGCACTGAGCCTCTTATAGTGAACAGCTGTGAGTCGGTTCGTTGTAAAGAACCGGTTCTAAACGCGATTCAAAAGATTGATGGTGGAGAAATATATAGCTTTTATTTACTATTTCGACACGTTTTTTAATTAATAATTGTGTTTATTGTCGGTTCACTGATTCAGAGAGTCAACAATGTCCGAATGATCCCCTTCTGTCCGTTTCGTGGCAAAGTTCAACCAGTTCACTAAAAAGATTCGACTCAAAAGAACGATTCGTTAACGTCGCTCATTTCTTTGCGGAGAAAAGTTTGGTACTGGTAGATCCTTTGAGGTAGTTTTAATGTATTTATGGAGGTAGAATGACGTCAAAAAGATTTGCATACGCAGGGTAATTTAATTTACGCTTACAGTCTTATGTACACTTCCACAACTCTTACCCTGCGTATGCAAATCTTTTTGACGTCATTCTACCTTCATATGTATTCCCATTTTATCCGCAACTTCACGATATTACAGAAACGCCTGCGTTCTGTCCTGTAGAGAGCGGTAGTGAGCCAGCGACTGAGCTGCATCACTGAAACGACAAAATTACGCTATATTGATGTGCGCATGCCCAGTAGCCACAGCTGTATGATCCCTTCTAGCCTTAACCGTTTTCGTTACAGATTAACGTTACACCTCGAGTCGTTTTGTGTCATGTAATAAGCGTCTCCAGAAGAGCTCTTGAGCTGCAGACTGCAATATGGTGACAGTTCCCAGCAGCTGCCCTACTGTACCGCTGTCCAATGGACGCAACATTCCCATTCTGGGTTTAGGTGAGAACAAGCTCATTCCTGACATTCGCATGCAACAACTAAGTGTTTCTACTCATTGCTTGTCACGGCAGTGTTTGGTAATATTTCCATGCTTCTAGGTTTTTGTTAGTGACACCGAAATTGGTAACGTACAAGCATTACTGTTCAATTTTAGCAGTGTTAAATCTCTTTATTGTCACTACAGTTATACACTGTGTAACAGTTACTGTCTTTTAATTGCTGTCCTCTCTTGTTCCACAGGAACATCTCATGTTGGAGGTTACAGTCATGAAGCAGTGCGCTGTGCTCTACAGGAGTGTGGCATAAGGCATATAGACACAGCCAAGCGTTATGGTTGTGAAGAGGCTTTGGGGAAAGCTGTGGTTGATAGTGGAGTACCACGAGAGGAGCTCTGGCTCACCACCAAACTATGGCCTAGAGATTACGGCTACCAGAGCACCAAACAAGCCTGCCGGGACTCGTGTGCCAGGCTGGGGGTTGATTATTTAGGTAAATGTGTGACCTGTTAAGTCAAAGGTAGAGTTCTATGGCTCGAAAAGTGCCAGATTTCTTTGTAAACAGTCCTTGGAATCAACTCCTTTCCACAGACCTTTATCTGATGCACTGGCCGGACTGCATGGTTCCAGGCGTCTCCAGTCGTGAGGTCCGAGCAGAGACGTGGAGAGCTCTGGAGGAGCTTTATGATGAAGGTTCATGCTCTTTTAGGGTCATTCTACAATTTAGAAATGATAGTTTGTAGGTAATGACCCCTTCTCCTTTGTTGCAGGTTTGTGTCGTGCCATTGGAGTGAGTAACTTTCTCATACACCACTTAGACGAGTTAAAGGATCGTGCTGGAATTGTGCCTCATGTTAACCAGGTATGGCAAAATGGTTGAGAATAATTATTTTAGAGAACAGTAATTACTATTATTTACTTGCTTACTAGCATGTTGGCTGTTTATTAGTACTGTTTCTTACTCTGCATGAACATATTCTAGATCCCTTACAACTACTACCAATAAGCAGCAAATTAGGAGTTTATTGAGAGAAAACTTTAATAGTGAATGTGTTCCCTAATCTAAAGTGTTAACGAAATTTTAAAAAGAAATTACATCAAGAAAAAATCAATAAATGTAGACATTTTATTTGTATAAAACATATGCAATAAAAAAAAATACAATAATCTCAAAGATGCCTAAAATAACTGAACTTCATTTAAACTTTGGTCATAAACGGTTATGTAGAATTATGCAGGTTTCAATGTAATGAAGATCTTTATTCGCCATAATAAAACCAAAACATTTATTTTCTACACTCCGTAAAATCCTAAATAAACTTTTGTACATTTTATTTTTCAATGCCATTACTACAAATAAAGCAGTTATTTTTTAGTCCAAATGAAAACAATTACAGAAAAGAAGGGTATATATAAATGAAAACTTGTCACTGTGTTTGATTTACTTGCAGGTGGAGTTTCATCCCTTCCAGCAGCCACTGGAGCTGGTTGAATATTGCCGGAAGGAGAATATCGTTTTTGAAGGCTACTGTCCTCTGGCCAAAGGTCAAGCTCTCACTCATCCATCAGTCATGGAGCTCGCCCAGAAATACGGCCGCAGCGCGTCACAAATATGCATACGCTGGAGTATCCAGGTACAGTTTGCATTTCAGTAGATCGTCACCAGTTGTTGATATGGATAGTTCACCCAAAAATGAAAATCAACTACTCACCCTCAAGCTGTAAATGTTAAATCCCTGTTTCCTATTAACTTAAGATCTTATTACTCTTCATATGAAAGTATGCTGAAAGCGGGTTATGAGTCACTGTATAGTTTCGTAATATTTGTGAAGCATCCTGTCTGTTACGCATTACAGTAATGCAATGATCATCTTCCAACTGTGAGTTTTGCTCTTGATATATTTTTTTCTTGTCTAGAATGTCAAGCAAGTATAAATCAGAAGCAGCAGTTATGTTACTCATTTATTTTAGTTGTACATTTCATTTCAGCACGGAGTTGTCACAATTCCAAAGTCCACCAAACCAGAAAGGGTCCATGAAAACTGCCAAGTAAGTTTGTATCTCGATCTTAAAGCTGCAATTTTTGTGCAAAAGAAAATAACATAAAAAATGTTATACAAATTATAATATCAAACCTTACTGTAATTAGCTGAACAGTGCAATTTATATATATATATATATATATATATATATATTGCTACATTTACAACTAATTATTTTCCCCACTTACTAAACCACATCCACAGAAGTAAAATAAAATTTAATAATAATATAAATGTTTGTACCAATTTACAGAGGCTGAGCTATGGTGTACGAAGTTGATAATTATTTTATTCTTAGTTCTCTTAAAGGGATAGTTCACCCAAAAATGGAAATTCTGTCATTAATTACTCACCCTCATGTTGTTTCA